TGTTTAAAATTTTTGTCTTTAATATCCTCCGATAATTTTCGATGTTTTCATTTCAGTCAGAGCGTGAAATGCAGATACAATGCCTATTTAGACCCTTTTAGAACACATATGGCTTTTGACTATATTAGCCTTCCAAGGTAGCATTTCATTTTCAGTCTAGACAGCAGGGAATTAAGTTTATGCTTCATTCTTTATACAGGTGTCCATATTTCGAATTATCACGTTGTATTGATTTCTTCTTTTCACATCAAGTTGATTTGGAGGTGTGTTTTGGGTGAAATTTGATATTATATAAAATATAAAGTCAAATTTAAGTCTAGGTCTTGAATTCAAATTCAAGTAAATAAGCTGTTTACAACTTAGATACAAGACAAACACGAGAGTAGTCAGGTGTACTTCCAGCCTTAATTAGAAACAAAGGTCAAGCACAAAATGCAAATTAAATATACATAACAAGATGTATTTTTATTATTGTTAAATAACTTGTCACCTCGAAGAAAAAAGTATATATATATATATATATATATATATATATATATAGGTGTGGGTGGACATGAAGCGATACACTTCTGCTGCGTATATATATATATATATATATATATATATATATATATATATATATATATATATATATATATATATATATATATATATATATATATATATACGATTCACGATACATATGTGACAGCTAATTCAACAATTTGGTCTTAACATTTTGAGCAAATTTCTAAGTTGTAGAGTATTCCAATTTTATGTGTTGACATAACTGTTGTATTTCTAATATGCAGATGCCAGACAGACATAAACAGACGTCGATTCATATGTCATTATCATCCTTAACAAAAGATAAACTAAAATATTTCCAGAGAAATAAATCCAACGCTGAATGTTTTTGATGTGCCTCTGAGTTCCTGTGTCGTAGTGATGTGGCAACAGTCTTTTGTTGAATCACAATAATAGAGTACACCAATATATCCTTATTTGAATTTCACTATGAAACCAAATCTCTATTTCCAAGGATATTGTTTTTGAGTACTTTTTATATCCAGAGAAGAATCACATGAATTAAATAATTAGAATAAATAAATTCTGGCCCGAAAGAAATTCAACAATGCAACTGATTCGGCTCAGATCTTACATCCCGAATGAATAAAGTTTAGGTAAATGAGATTATATAGTTCTGTACTTGACCTCAGGTCACAATTAGCATTTCCTTTCTTTTTTAAAATAAAACATATTACCTAATGAAAAATATCATTATGTTTGAAATGTTTGCAAAATAAAATCTGTGTTATAATTAGGAGGACTGTTACTAAAATTATAATATGAAATGTGGTATGTAGCAAACAGAACCGGCATTTCATGAATACTTTCCATGTTGTTTACAAATATAAAATGAAGGATTCAGGTCCGCTCGAAAATGAACTTGTCCTTAGACAAATCTAAAATCCAATTATCAAAAGCATCTAATGACCCTAAAACCTAATAAACAATCCATATTAATTATAGATGACAATATTCTTATTGCAAGAATCACTCTCCTGAATCAGATAAAACCTTCCGAGAAGAAGCAAAATAAATCACAAATCTTAATAAAGTTTCCCCGCTCAGCGGACGATAGATACAAGTGTATAAAGGTTTTGTTTCCTGAGTGACGAGATTATGCGAAGCAAGCACCTTAATCCATCAAAGCAAAGAGCAAACTGAACTGGCAATAAAGTTGTAATGCCAAAGTGATATCACTCTTACATCGCTGAAAACCCAATGATATCAAAATGCTCAACATTAGAAATAATTTGAATTATGACACTTCAAATATTGGTATGAATGGTATGATGAATCCCAATCCATTATGACATTTACACAAATATTAAATAATAAAGCAGTACAGCATCAAGATTCAGAACCTATCATTAGTCGTCAAATTTATATACATAGCGGAAACTATCCACTCTCATCTCGAAAATGGGGCTTCAACACAGTCCACATCACTGACAACACATTCTTCTGGCATCACGATCTGTGAAATTGGTATTCTGGAAAAGATGCCGTATATCAACCGGACGAACTTCCTGACCTGTCAAAAACGGACATCGATTTGACCAATACAACGAACATTGAGGAATTCGCTTAATATAGGAAATTCTTCTTGACCTCAAAAAATGACATAATAATAGCACAAAAATATAGGTCAGAACTGAGCATGAATATAAATAACAGTCTTACAAAATTAACTTTGGATTATTTCATGTTCTTAAAACGTAGATCATTAAATCTTGAATTATGTGATTTTGAACAAAAATGGGTTGCATTCAAATTTAATTACGTTGGTGTAACTTTCTTTGTTTCAACAGAATCACAATCATACAAGACTTTGAGACGCCTTATATTGTTGGCATGATGGTAAATATTGTAAAAGGCCACGTGTGAAATGATGCTCGAAATCGTTGCTCAACTGTCCCAGAGACATAGTAGTAAATTAGTTCCTTGTATTTGGTGTTTGAGTTGTGGTTTTCATTTATAATATTTAAGTACTAATGTTACGCTACGGAAATCTAACATTGGGAAAACATGCAATTATGAGGTTGCCACGCGATTGTGATGCAAATGTGAATATTTTGCGGTAATTGATTGAAGAGAGGAAAATATTTATAGTCTTGGCTTGTTATTGGAACTTCTGGTTAATAACGATTGTTGTGGGGAAATAAGGGTAAAATAGAAATTCGAGCTATACCCACCCCACGCGAGTGTTTGATTTGGTCGGTAATGAGACCCCTTTGCGTTTAATAATATATATAGAGTAGAGTGTGATTGACCATCCCTACCCACAAATTACTTTCAGTGTTGACATGCATTACTTTAAAAAACTGCTAGCAATATAAGATCAACTATGATAAACGAAAATATACGTTATTGAAAATTTTAGAATGACCGCTGAAAGTTTAATCTGAAAACAAACAGTAAATTTCGGAACACTTTATTAATTGTGTCGAATGAAGAGAATACTGTCTCGTCTCGTTCGTGTGTGAATATGTGACGTGATTTAGATTTTTAACTTAGCTTTAACAAGTTTTGAGTCATATCGCTGCAATGTGTGAAGTGTGACAGAATATAGTGATGTTTACCACTGATGCATCATGCCGCAGACATGTAACATGATGTCTCACCCAGTCACATTATTCTGACACTAGACCGGCCAGTCCTAACAGTAACCTATTAATGCTGAGGCAGCTGTTAGTACCATTTTTAAAAATCTTTAGTTCGACTCGGGCTGGGTTCGAACACGAGACCTCCCGCATCCGAGGCGAATACTCTACCACTAAGACAGCAGAGCGGTTGTCTCGTTCTTTAATTTAAATTATTAGAAACTAAACGGAAATAATATTAAATAATATACAAATAGATGACCTCAGTTAGAATGTCATAAATTTAGTCGTAAAATATTAATATATCCATTAAATATAACTCTCAAAAAGTAATCTGATTTCTAGACCGGTCTTAAATGTTAATGAGAATAACAAGCGTATTTCTTAATGAAATTCAGAAGTCGTATTCCCATAAAAATGTAACTATTTTATGGTCACATTATCATTCAAAAACTGTTTTGCATCGTTTCATATTTCTAAGAGATATTTTTCGTACGAGTAGAATAAAGACAAATAAAAAACCTTGAAACAGTACTGGAAGATTGCCAATAAATATTATCCGAATCATAAGCGAAATACAGGGTATACAACAACCTTCTTCATGGTGAATTAGCTTACATTTAACGACATTTTTGTGCTTAAGAATGTTTGCAACGGATCAGTAAGCAACAACAAAAGTACAAATATCCACGTACTTAGATAATAAAGAATCTAAAACATACTTTCAGTTTGATTGCTGATAAATAAACAAATCTTTATCAGTTATAAAAATTGGAAATATTACACAAGGGACCAATGGCGTCTATACCTTCAGCAACAACAACAGTGTAGTCATGTTACTGTTATGAGGTCAAATTTAAGTATAAATAAGAACATTAGAAGTCTCTCTAAAGTGTATGAAAACTAACTCTTCTTTGGACTCATTTTCATTAAATTATATTGGGAATAATTTCCATTAAAATACATGTAGATTAAATTTATTTAATTGAGCTATATTCATTTTGAAATTGTTCTATTACAATTAGTGCAGTTTATGTCTGCCTCTATAACTGGTATAAATTTGCCGTACTATACATGTGTAAACTCACTAGGCTTACACTCAGTAGCAAAAATTCTTGACATATTCTACAAATAAGTATGTTGGCTTGGAGGTTAAATCCAAGGTCAGAAATAAAAATGTAAAAACATACATAGTTCTATGGGATAAAACTGGTTCTCGCTAGTTGGAACAAGCATGAAGTCTGAACGTGTGCTAGCCTTCTCACCTCAAAAAAGCTGTTACCATAAAAGGTTACGAGGTGTCGTGATCTAGTATAAATAAGCCCCGGGAGAGATTATCATTAAAGTCCGGAAGCTAAGGAAAACATGTCCGCTCTGTTCAACAACCTGCCAGCCTTCCTTTTTCTGTTTGTTCCTGTTCATATGTATTATAGTCATGTATACACTTTCGTGTTTTATGACTTTAAGCCCTGAAAAGGGCTAGTGGCCTTTCCCTCCTTCCGGGGCCGGGATCACCAGTGTCCAGTGCTGACACTTTTGCCCCGGCGAGTGGGCCTATTAACCCCCCTGGTTTCTCACCGCCTTAGCCGGATGTTATCTTTCGATAACGTTGCTATTCGGGGAGGCGCTTAGCCCTAGGGCTGGGCTTTTGGTCGTGGTGCTGACCTTTATTGGCTGACCTTAAGACCCTTTGGTTGGCTGCGTATTGTAACAGAGCGTACCGGCATTCCGCCTCAACTCCCGCCTACGAAAGTCCCCCCAATGTCTAAGTTCACCTAACTTTATCTCAGGTGGATTAATGGCAAATTTAACCAATTTTTTTTACGAGTGTCCCTATACCAATGATGTATTAGCCACCTATTCAATTATCCAAATGTTCCTGAGTTGTGAATTTGGAATATATTTTGATGAGGTTGAATTTTGCGTACTTAGCGTACTTGTATGGTTCTAAAAAAAAATAACTCAATCTCTAGGTGTATGTCACCTAATTTTGACATTTATCACCGCTTTGACAATGTTTGTTTTTTTTTAATTTTGACTGCCTTTCCAAAAAATCTCGTTTTAATGTTGGGTCTTCCAGGCCAAAGTGAAAACATAGGTTGTAGGCTTATTTTCGGACAGTTAACCGCGCGGCCCGGACTGTCCATCGCTAATCGGTCTACTCCGCTCCTGGGAGTTAGGGCTATCAGGGGGAAGGTTCCTGATTTTCTCTTATCGGCCTTGACCTTTTTGTCCTTGTCATGCTTCAATTTGTGAGTGTACTTAGGCGGACGTGGTAGAGATGATCTTTATTTTCAATCCTTTTCCTTGCTTGTGGGATATTCTTTTTCCAGAGTATATATAGTTATTATAAGGAAAATTAAAATACAAATAGAGTATATGTATGTTATAAATAGTTATGATTATTGTTATGATTTAATTATGCTTATAACTAAGGCTACATTAACTAAAGGTAAAGAGTAATAATTCCTAGGGTTCTTATTACAAGGGATATAAATTATTCTTTTTAGTTTTATATTTTATAATATTGGATGCTTCAGATTTTAATTATTCCTTGTTAATATCAAAATCTCAATTCTAAAAGAAAGAAACGAAAATATTAATTTGTGTACAACATGTTGAAATCTCTAGTTATTGGAAGATAAAAACATCCAAATTTAAGCTAGTGCTTTGATATTGATTGGAGTGTAAGAGAAGCGTGCTCCAATCAATAATTCATATCCTGAATATAAAAAGGACATTGAAATGAATTTAGATTAAGCATTTATTATTGTTCAGCTTTCACTTGGTAATGAAAAAAGCCTAATTAATAAGCCAGTTCAATCGGATAGAAGTCAAATGATGTTTTATTGCACCATTCAATCAATAAAACCTTATTAGATTTCGTTGTGAAGTTGGGATCAAAGTAATTGATAATCACCATAGGGTATAATTAAATTAATTAGATTTACAATGTGAATGACCACTGGAAGGTTATGGACATGATCCAAAAGGTCGTTACTTGGAAAAATACCGTCCACACTCACACTCTACCCCCTCCCCACTAAAACTTGATATAAAGTTAAACCTGTCCTTGGAAAGCACGCGAGAAGCACGCGTCATTTTAGACAAATATCTTTTGAGACTGGATATAGCACTTGTGATTAAACAGCTTCCAGAATATAAAAAGGCTTTGAGCTGTTTTATTCTCAGTGCGATTCCATGCTCTCAAAAGAGTATTATGTCTATTTCTTACAGGTAAGAAACTTATGCTTTATACTCGCTTTTGGAAGTTAAAGATTTTATAGTGAGTTGTGGTACTCTTCTGAATTATTTTTATTTCATTAATATAATGTAATAGTGAGTTCTCTTTTCTACTATGAAATATTTTACTGATTTAATATTTTACTGAATTGATGTACATTGTATTTATAATATAATATTATTGAGTTCCCTTCTTCCACAATCATAATGTAATTTAAATATTTTACAGCTTCGCTGTTCATTAGTATTTGTTTGAAATAATTACTAGCTTCATGTTATAATTTAATTGAGAATAAATATATATTCTTTAAATAATAAGTACAACATTCACAGATCTTTTTCAGGTCTTTACCTTACAATAAATAAAAAAAATACATTTATTACAGTTATTGAATTTTAGGCTCTTTAAATATTTAAATCACTTGTATTCAAAAATACAGAAAAATGAATGGACAAATGAAATACTAGATTGTGGAAGAACTATTTAATAAGTATTGTAATATGTATTGTATGTATTTTCAACATAAATAAATTTACATGTTGTATCTTTAGAATATGTATCTATATATATGTCAATAAAGTGAGATTCCATGCTCTCAAAAGAGTATTATGTCTATTTCTTACAGCGATCCCACCTCTTCGCAGCCAAGCATTCCCCACAAAAAGATGTAACCGTATCTACACCATCATATGTGACACCTTATTCTTATGAATGCTGAACTTTCTGCCTTCTCGAACTAGACACGAGAAGCGATCCTTACAGTTATTGAATTTGAAGTGGTGGAAAATGACATTCCTTACAGTTACCAATCTTCCTATCATAATATAGTGGTGGACGAATAACAAGAATAAGTGCAATGAACCGAGGTGTCACACCCCATAATTATTATCTACGAAATAGACTTTTGCCGAAACTCTTAACACCGTCAGACTTTCCTTCGCCTGGCTCTGCGAGACTGACAACATCCGCAACCGCACCTCTCTTAACACCATTAGACTTCACTCCGCCTGGCTATGCTACATCAACTCCAGAAGCGACAGCGCCGCCATATTCCAAAGAGAAAACCCAAATTAGAACAACCGCACTCATTTTAGACACTGAAGCAACCAGAAATAACACAGCGGAACGAATATGATTGCAGCTATGAGAGGATCGCAACAGAAAATGCATACATCGCCTATGAGAATTCTTTTTCCAGTAACACCTGAGACTACGACATTTCGAATGCATACAGTGCTAAGTCCAGCTCCAAATTTGACCTAACTACAACCCAAAATGAATTGCAGCGACATCTACGCTCTCACAGATCAGCGACTACAGCATTAACAGTCCCCTTCTCAGTGAAAGTGACTTTAACATTTTGAACTCTTTCGATATTAGAGACAATAGATGTATTGTTTGCTATTAGTTCATATCAAGAATATTTCTTCATTGTGGTACATCACACAAAGGTATGATTTTTCTATCTCTTATTTTGATTTTTTTTTAAATGACAAATTGAAAGTTAGTGCGTAAATTTCAAACGATTAACAACACTAATCTAACTTATGCTATATTTCATTTTTTATTGAGTAAATAACATTGTTATACTTACTGTCATTAACATACATCAGAGTTGCTAAGATTTCTACTACAGAGAATGTGAATGAACCTTTAAGTTTAATTCCGTGCCCTAAGCATTTATATCAAACATCAAACCTACTCGTCTTGACACTTCAAATTACATTATACATGTTTCGCTACTATCACACATATCGATCGTACCGTATTTACCTATCTTAAGGAGCATTGTACTTTCCGCTATGCCGTTTCAAACATTGATGCAGAAGTTGTTTGTTTTGTTAGCTTAATGGTGTTCGATAATGTTATTGAGAATTTCTCTTACGTGTTTCATATGAAATCATATGAATGTATACCATAATGTATAATATATGGTATTGTCTT